AATGAAATAAAATAGGTAGTCTAGAAATAAACTCTTAAGTTTATGACCGAGTGATTCTCAAAAAGAGTGCCAAGATACTTTGATTGGAAGAGGAACAATCTGCTCATCAGATAATGCTGGGATAACTGAATGTTGTTGTTATGTGCTATTAAGTTGCATATGACTCATAGCAACCCTATGAACAACCATTCTAAAACCTGCCCTATTCTGGGGCATTCTCACTACCTCTGACACATTAGATCCTATTGCTGAAGTCTCATGCCAATACATCTCGTTGAGGGTCTTCCTCTCCTTCACTGATCCTCCATATTTCCAAGCACGCCCTCCCTTTCCAAGGAATAGCCTTGCCTAGCTACATGTCCAAAGTATGAAAAATAAAGCTTGGTCATTCTTGCCTCCAAGAATGCTCTGGCTTTCACCCTTTCCAGAACATATCTGGTGTATGGGTTTCCCCTCCTTCCCCCCAATTCAGTACTCTTCTTCAGCAACAATTCAAGGGCATCAATTCTTCTTCTGTAATTTTTATTCATTTTTCAGCTCTCTGATACATAGCAGGTATTGAGAAGACCATGGCCTGAATCAGGCACACCTCTGTGTTCAAACTGGCATCATTAATCTTCAGTATTTTGAAGAAGTCCCTTACTGCAGACTTGCCTAATGCAATATGTCTCTTGATTTTCTGACTGCTGGTACCGATGGTATTAATTGTTGATCCAAGTAGTGGAGCAGAGGACTGTGGGCGCCAGGGACACTGGAATTGTTGGTTTGTTAAGTACCATTGAGTTGAGCATGACTTGTAGTGACCCTATGAACAAAAGATCTGAACCCAGTTCTATTCTGCACCAGGCTCATACATCCTGAAATACAAGAGTCCACTGCAGTAGTCACTGTTAATCCACCTCATTGAGGGTCTTCCTCTCCTTTGCCAACCCTCCACCCTTCCCAGCTGTAAGGTAAAAAAGGTGCAGAGAACTGGATGAAGTGAAACAAAAGAGTTTATTAGTGGCTTTTGGGCAGATTTACTGTCTGAGATCAGAGAAAGGCAGGGTCAGGCAGTAAAATTGCAAATGAGGAAATTACAGACCAAACTTTATAGGTAGGGGTTGGGGCTAGGGTGGTAAGCCCGGTGGTCAATTCTCCACGGAGGGTGTTGAGTGCCTTTTGTTAGTTCCCAAATATGGAGCTGCTCAGGCAAGCAAGATGTGGTTGGTGGTCGTGCTCTTTTCTTACTGGCCATAGTCATCTTACACCAGGCAGACTGGAATGTCTCCCAGAAGGTGTGGTCAGCGTGGAATGTTGCCCAGCTCCCAGCTGGCCTTTCACCAGCATCATGTCCTTCTCCAAGGAATAGCATCTCCTAGCAACATATTCAAAGTATGTGAGGTGAAGCCCATCATTCTTGCCTCCAATGAGCACTCTGGCTGCACCCTCTCCAAGATATATCTGTTTGTTCTCTTGGCCTTCCATGGGGTTCAGAGCTCTTCTCCTGTCTTCCTTATTCAGTGCTCTTTTTCTGTCATCCTTATTCACTGATTAGCTCTCAGATGCACAGGAAGTGATCAGAAAGGCTATGGCCTGAATCAGATGCACCTTCGTATTCAAACTGACATCACTACTCCTCAGTACTTTGGAAAGTTCCCTAACTGTAGGGCAGATTGTGAAGACAAAGCAAAGTATTATAATGGAATGTATAGAAAGCTGGAATTAGAGAATAAAAAAGGAAAAACTCACTCAGCATTGCTCAAGCTGAAAGAACTGAAAAACAAATTTAAGCCTCATGTTGCAATGTTGAAAGATACTATGGGCAATATATTGAGTGATCTAGAAAGCATCAAAAAAAGATGGAGGGAAAACACAGAATCACTGTTCCAGAAATAATTGATTGACACTGAAAAATTTTAGGAAGTACAATATGAACAGGAGCAAATGGTATTGAAGGAGGAAGTAGAAACTGCATTGAAGGAATCGGCAATGGAATGTTGTTGCTGTTAAGTGCCATAGAGTTGTACATGACACATAGCGACCTTATGAACGAAAGACCTAAACACTTGTATAACTTTCATCGTTTCTCCACATTCATAGAGTTTCTGGAGGCAAGCTATTTTGGAAGTGGATGCCACTCCTGCTTCCATGCTTGTTTTAATGGAGGAGCTCCACCAAACACTGTTCACCATGGATAACCATTATCACATTTGACATATCAGTGTCACAGTGTTAAGCATCACAGCAATCATGAGTTACCTCTGTACAGCAAATGGACAGACCAGTGCTATACCACTTAGAAGAATGTTTGGCCAAAAACAATTAAAACCAGGCCTGAGTGCCACAAATTAAAATCACCCACCTTTTGCTTGGTAGCGTAACTTTCTACCCACTAGGCCAACAGAGCTCTATGTTGTTGTTGTCATTGTTGTTAAGTGTTGTTGAGTCATAGATGACTCAAAGGGACGCTATGAAGGAAAGACCTAAACACTTGTATAACTTTCATCATTTATCCACATTCACAGAGTTTCTGGAGGCAAGCAATTTCGGAAGTGGATGCCACTCCTGCTTCCAAGCCTGTTTTAATCGGGGAGGTCTACCAAACATTGTCCACCATGGGTAACCATTATCACATTTGACACATCAGTGTCACAGTGTTTAGCATCACAGCAACCACACGAGTTACCTCTGTACAGCAAACAGACAGACACCACCTACAAATAGAATGTCAGACTTCTTCTACTCTGCACCATAGACAAAAAGCAACACAAAATTAAGCAAAGATCTCAGTGTAAGAGCTAAGCCTAGAAAATTATTAGAACCACATCTCATTCACTAGTAAGACCATAACTTTTTAAAAAGACAGAAAATTAATGATGCTGAGACTGTGGGGAGAAGTGGACCTTCATGTGTTGCTGGTGGTAGTGTAAAATAATGCAGCCATTGTGGAAATGGGTAGTTCCTCAAAAAGTTAAATATAGATTATCATATGACTCGGCACTACCACTCCCAGGTATCGCTCAAGAGAATTGAAAACTTATAAAGGTTCATAGTAGATTACTCATAATGGTCAGAAAAGTGAAAATAACTCAAATTTTGATCAACTGACAAATGGATACGAAGTCTGGGTGTTGCTGTGGTTAAGCACCCAGCTATTAACTCAGAGGCCTGCGACTGGAACTCATGATCTGTTCTGTGAATAAAGCTGTGACAATCTGCTTCCGTAAAGATTTACAGCTCTGCAGATGCTGTGGAGAAGCCCTACTCTGCCGTAGGCATGGCTATGAGCCAGAATCCACTTGCAGTGGGTTATTTCATGGTTGGTGAATGGATAAGTCAAATATCCAGACAATAGAATGGCATTTGTCCATACAAAGGAATGAAATACTGATACATGCTACACCATGAATGAACCTTCCTCCCCCCCCAAGCTTTATGCTAAGTGAAAGACGTTGGCTTATGTTTATATGCAATGTCCAGAATGTGCATATGCATACAGAGACACAAAGTAGGTGAAAGTTACCAGGGGCTGGGGAAAAAAAGAGGAGTGAATAGAGAGTGACTGCTTGTTGATTGAGGTTTGCTCCCCAGAGGGAAAGTCCCCCATGGTTTGTGGTCACATACAGATCGAAGCATGGGGAAAGGAAAACTTGCTGACAGAAGGAGGTGGTACTGCAAGGATCTGTTTGTGGTTGACCAGTAAGGGTGAGGAAAAGTAGCAATTTTACCACCTTACACAAACAATCTTCAATATATAGGTAAGTTAAAGATTATGTAGGCTGACAGAAAATGCTAGCAGTCAATACATAATGATTAGTCTAAGGGGGGGAACCCCATCACCAGCTTGATTTATTGTGGAGTTTAGTTGAAAACTATAAGGGGCGGAGTGGGCTTGCATTCCTGGGAGAAACTACCAAAAACAAGTTTAGCTTAGGTGTAGTCACTTTTAGGTGTCCATAGGCTTTCCCATGCACCACTAATAGGTACGAAGTTTTTTGGAGTGATGAAAATGTTCTAGAATGAGTGGTGATAGTTGCACAGCCTTGGCAATATACTAAACCCCATTAAACTGTACGCTTAAATTGGGTGAATTTTACGGTATGTGAGCTCAATTAAAAAAACCCAGAAACTATAAATTGGGAGCTAACATTTAATTTGAAAATCAGCTCTAATAATATGAATGTTGTTGATACTTACTGTAAGACCAATTGAACACTCTTCCTAAAATAACCACCCTGCAATAAGCCCTGGGGAAGTTGCTAGTATCTGGACTAAGGAGTGAGGATTGCATTCTGGAGTTTTTGGTACAGAAGGAAATGGTGTCCCGTCCCTACTCATCCAGCACAGGCTGGCTTGGGCATTTCTGTAGGCAGAAAAGAGCAGAGCTGGGGTACCTCGGGGAGAAGAGGTGGAGTCTGAGACTGTGAGGCGAAGGTTGGGGGCGCAGGCGAGGCGGGTGCGTAGATGGGGGGGAGCGGAGGTTACGGGAGGAGACGTGGGGGACATGGAGGATGCCGGACAGGGACGACGCAGTTACTGGCCCAGAGGACGCAGGGGTGGGGCGTGAGACGAGAAGGCGGGGCACGGGGTGGACACGGGTCAAGGGGGCTGGGCAAGAGGAGCAGGACGAGGGCCACTGGGGTGGGTGGTAAGCTGGGAGGGGCGGG